TTTCGTGGCAGGTGCAGCACTTTGTGAACCTCCATGTGCAGATTTCGAGGCAGGCGCAGCACTTTGTGTACCTCCATGTGCAGATTTCCTGGCAGGCACAGCACTTTGGGAACCTCCATGTGCAGATTTCGTGGCAGGCGCAGCACTTTGTGAACCTCCATGTGCAGATTTCGTGGCAGGCACAGCACTTTGTGCACCTCCATGTGCAGATGTCGTGGTAGGTGCAGCACTTTGTGAACCTCCATGTGCAGATTTCGTGGCAGGCACAGCACTTTGTGAACCTCCATGTGCAGATGTCGTGGTAGGCGCAGCACTTTGTGAACCTCCATGCGCAGACAGCCGGAAAATGCATTGCCCGACGAGGAACAGTTTCGCTGTTTTTGCACGGAGGAGCACACCAAATGTTGGAAGAAATGGTTTTGACTTTGAAAACACCACCCACTTCGCGTGCCCGCAGCAGCTGATTTCAATTGCAGATGCCCAGATGCTTCAGCACGCCGGTGCGGGCTGCTGATCTTGCCTTGGTATAGCGCAGACCTTGCACAGGTGGCACTGTGGTGGTCAAAAAGTCCGGAGGGCGTGCGACTGGCCGGGGACACGCATGTTGTTTTGTTTTGGAACCCGTCCAGTCGGATTGGGTTGCCTGGGTATGATTTGTTTTGTTTTGGATTCTGTACGTATAGCTGACCATGACTAGGGACACTGTTTGTAAAGAACCAGCGGTTGGACTGGGTTGACTGGGTGTGACTTGCTTTTGTTTTGGGATCCGTACATGTAGCTGACCATGGCTTGAAGGCGCTAGCCAGCAAGCCAGAGAGCGACTGGTGACTTTGTACTACAACTTGAGTACGCGGAGCTATCTGTGCAGCTAGAAGCTGAGAACTGGCGACTTTGTATTGTAGTACAACTTTCGTACGCGGATGAGTCATCTCTTGCTCCTGAGTCATCTCTCGCTGCTGAGTCATCTCTCACTGCTGAGTCATCTCTCGCTGGTGAGTCATCTCTCGCTGCTAAGTATCTGGGGAGCTGGAAAATGCGAGCTGGCGACTTTGTATTACAACTGTAAAGTACGCGGAGTATTTGGCAAGCTGGACAATGAAGACATGATTTTGACTTTGAAAACACCACCCACTTCGCGTGCCCGCACCAGCTGCACTTAACTTTCGCTTGCAGATGCCCAGTTGCTTCAGCACGCCGGTGTGGGCTGGTGATCTTGCTTTGGCATAGACACGACCCAGTGCGCTGTTGTGAGCTGCTGATCCTGCACAGAGCACAGACCTTGCACAGGTGGCGCTGTGTGTGTGTGTAACCCTTGGAATCATAGGGGTCCTGTCGGATTTGCTTTG